TGGAGGCAGGTGGAGGTAGATGGAGAATCCGTGCAACGTGGACTCGGAGGTACTTAGCTGCGGAGATTTCGGGGGCATACTGGCACCGAGCCGCAGAATACCCATCTTGCACCTCGATCGTTACACAGAAAGCCCCGAAGGTTGGGGTTCATTGCAGGAATGGCACACTTACTGTATAATGATTTACGTTGTAGGGCATTGTAGATAGACAGAGTGAACAATGGTACTTGCCGCATTTCGGCTGAGAAGACTGTCCATCAGCCCACGTTAGCTCACGTTTTCTCGCTTTTGCAATTTGCTGGGACGTTTGAACAACTTTCTCACTTTGACGATGTCGGAATATACATTGGATAGTCCCAGGTTCAGCAATATATATTGGCGATCACTCAAAGCCATTTCTTGTCTTTGGAAATTGTCCTCCCCAGGTTCCCTTAACGCAAATATCTCATAACAAAATGATGTATACATTATTTGTTGGACTCTCCCTCATATCTCTACCTCTTCTGGCTCTTGTGTTCTATACGAAACGCCACACGGCCCAGCTGCCTCCTGGACCACCTCGCAAATGGATCCTTGGAAATCTCCTTGATCTTCTCAAGACAAATGACCTATTGGCTTTGGTAGATACTTGGCAGAATGATTATGGTCGGTTCATATCTTTATATTAGAAGGTGACACAGTGCTGAGCTACAGCAACCAATAGGTGATATAGTCAGCTTGGAATGTTTTGGTTTAACTGTAATTTTCCTCAATAACCTAGTATGGATACACGTCCGTCACTACTCATTTCAGCTACTGATGATCTGTCCAGGAATGCTGCATTGATCTTCTTGAAAGACGCGCGGGCAATTATTCACATCGTCCGAAGATGCCTTTTGTGCGGGAGCTTGTGGGACTTGACAAAGTGAGTCTATAGCTAGTCCGGTGAATATAACAAGGGCTAAATTGAGCTTGTTCTAGAGTTTCGGTAATTAAGATGCTTCCATAATCCTTTTTTATCGCTCGCTTATTACTTCGTTCCAGGCTTTATGGATTTTTCTGAGGAAAGTGTTCGCGGACGTCGCATTGCAAACTTGGCTTTCAAAGCCAGTGCTGTGCGCCAGTACTCTCCTGCGCTACAAGATAACACTGTTATCCTGATGCAAGACTTACTCAATCTTCCGGAAGATTTTGAAAGTGTACTTGAACGGTAAGCTTTATCCATTTATCATGTTGATAACATCATTGAACCAAATTCAGGAGGAACATTCAGCTCGCACTATCATTGATCTTTGGCATCAGACTCGACGAAACAAACCAGCATGTCCGTCCTTGCTTCCTTTACTCTCAGCTCGCAGGTTGACAAGCTCTTCCCAGTATATCACAACCACGATGGACTGTATAAATAAAATTGCAGGAAATGTTCTTCCTGGAAGTCGAATCGTTGATTTTCTTCCAGTCCGTGCGTACATTGTTGTTTCACATTTTCTCAGTATTTTTAGAAACACCACTAGTGAAGTATTTACCTCCCTGGGTCCCCTTCAAGCGCGATGCACAGCAATTGAATGCGTTAGTTAATGAAGCATTTGGGCGTCCATTTGGAGATGCAAAGAGGCGCATAGTACGCAATGCCTGTCATATATCTACCAACACTTTCAGAATGACATCGATCCACTAGGCTGACGCGATCTTTCACCCTTCCTTTGTGTCCCTTATTCTTTCCAGTGAAGAGGTTCAAGGTGATATTGATACCGAGGACTTCCAGGAAATGATGTATGTTTTTATGTTATAAATATTTTCTCCGTGTCTCATTTGAGCTTCAATGTTGAAGGAAATGGATTTCCGGAACTATGTTTATGGCAGCGGCAGAGAGCACTACCTCCACTGTTCGTGTCTTCTTCAAAGCAATGGCGCGAAATCCAGAAGTACAGGCCCAAGCGCAAAAAGAATTGGACCGTGTCCTAGGTACCAGGCTACCAACCATGAGTGACCGCAAATCCCTACCATACCTCAATGCACTTCTACAGGAGGTTATCAGATGGGAGAGCATTGTTCCGACTGGTACTATGAAACAAAATGCTTCCTGTCATCCATAGCTGATGTAGAGTTAGGCTTCCCTCGCCGTGCTCATGCGGATGATGTCTACAAGGGAATGTTCATCCCAAAAGGTGCTGTCATTCTCGCGAACTCACGTAGCATTTCCCGCCACGAACACGGCAAAGGATCGCCAAACGATTTCGATCCAACAAGATTTCTGGAAGGGGGTGGTGCTCGTCCCGTTCGGGACTATATATTTGGATTCGGAAGGAGGTGAGCCCTTCATCTCAAGTTGAACAAATCTTAGCTGACCGTCAAATTCCTTCTGTCAAGGGAATGTCCTGGATGATTCTTAGCAGAGGCATCAGTATGGATCACAATTGTATCTGTCCTCAAATGTTTTGACATCGTTCAATTGCGGGAATCTGTTAAGACATGTACAGCTCGCCGGTCGGGAGTGATCCAGTGAGTGTTTGTTGAATTGAGTGTGTTCTCTACTGCAACCGAATGAAATTACAGCGGCACGACTTCACTTGACTGCAAAGTCGTTCCCCGAGATAGAGTACATCAGGGGATGATCCAACATAAAGTTGCTGAAATGGAAGCTGCGCAATTTGCTTGATACCTAATGATGAATACCGGATATATAGACCGATAGATACTACATGCCTTCGTCTGTTAATTCAGGTGGTTCGCCGTGCTTATATCCGATCTACAAATACCAAGTACATAGAGTGAACTTCGGTAGCAGTACCTGGTTTACTAGATACAGAATATAGTACAAGGATACACAAATCGAATTCAATGAGTGCTACGCAGTTCAAATAAAAGAAAGAAAGTGTGCAATGGAAAATCTTCGCAAAAGTGTCGCGTGGTGCATGATAAACCCAATAATACTACAGGGCCATTGAAATACCAATCAATGCCGGCCAAACAATGAAAACAAATCGGAATTTCAGCTTTTCCATGTCAACCTCTCGAGAAGGAGGCGCTATTGTGATATGGACGATTAGCGTTGTTGGATCCGGGCAGAGTATCAGCGTACACAGTGGTCGCACTTGTATCGGAACTTTGAGGTCGCCCATTCACAGTTGAAGCAGGAGCGGTCGGTGTAGATAGGTTGACAAAGGTGGGTGACGAATGACAACGACCCAAGTCATCGCGCGTCTCCGACCTCTATTACCTGGAGGAGTCTGCGACGACGGTATCCGTATAATCTCCCACCCAACCAGCACAAGCTCGCTCATCGGATCAAAATGCGAACCTCGAGGCCACCCACCCCTCCACCCTGGCACCCGGAATCCTCATCCTCCAAGACACCCCACCTTAAGTCTCACCCAACAAACCCAGCACTACCCTTTCCACTCCGCGTATAATCCCCGGGATACCTCCGCTGCGGCGTTGTTTGAGATTGACATGCGCCCGCTGCTGGAGGACGTATTGGGTGAGGGGACGATGACAATCTTCGCGTATGGGGTGACGAGTTCTGGGAAGACCTGGGAAGACGTACACGATGCAGGGGAGAGGGGATTGTTGGGATGGTTGTGGATGAGTTGTTTAAAGGTGACGGGGACTAGGACCAGGACGAGGGAGGCAGAGGCGGGGAGGGGAATTGGATATCTCGATGTCATATTTGCACTCATACCAGGGGAATCAACGTCAACCTTTCAGGAGGATTGGGATTGGTTACCATCAAAGTCAAAGTCTTCATGTGTACCTCCACCGGTACCATCAGATACGAGTGGGATTATTCCCAAATCAGCCACGATCGGTATGCAGGGCTCAAACTCAAACTCAAACTCAACTCCAACTCAAACTCCAACTCCAACTCAACCTTGAACTCGAAATGAAACTCGATCTCGAAATCAAAGCGAAAGCTCGCCGAAGACGCTCCACCCTTGGGCTTGGGACGGAATTTTGGATCAAAGTAATCCATCCGGGTACGATACCAGGGAGAGCCCGAAAGCTAATAAACGCGTCAAGACCATAGAAGGCCAGGGGAATCAGATTAATCAACACCCGAAGGAAACCGAACGCCACAGAAGAAGAGTTGAAAGGAAAGCGAAAACACGAGCAATTTCGATTTCGCCGGTTATCATCATCATCTCGGACGACGAGGAAGAGGAAGAGGAATAAAGGATGGATAGAAGAAGAAGAAGGGATGATAAAGGGAGGGTACAAGCAAAAGGAAAAGCACAAGCTGTTTCGATATCACTCATCTCAGAAACTCGTTCTTTATTCGAAAACGACGACGACAACGACGGTATCTGGGAAGTCCCTGCATCGATGGTCTTGTTCGTCAGCACAGATTCGACGAAGGTAGTGGTTTTTCCTCCGGGTCTGGCTCAACTCTGCGTTCGACCGTTCCCAAATCCCCTCCGTATACCCAAATCCCACCCCACCTCACCACCCTCTTTCAGCTAGGAACGGGAGACCCGTTTTTACCCGCATCATCACTCCCAACGCCGAAGAACAAGCCGAAAACCAACAACAGCATATCTACGTCATCGACACCGACACCGATGTCGACGAAGTCGCCGGTGTGCTCGAAGAATCCGAAATGAATTCCCTAGAACCCGAATCCCCGGCTTCATGGGCCGGATGGTTGGAATTTGAATTGGATTGATTATGCTGGGGTGGGGTGGGGGAAGATGATGGAGATGAAGAAGAAGTAAGAAGAAGAAGGTGATGGATGAGGATGATGATGATGGGTAAATCGATAGTAAAGTTCTTTGTGTTTGATACTGAATATCTCCGAGTCATGAGGATTTAGAAAAAGCACTCAAAGAGTGCTAGCGAAGCTTTGCTTTGCTTTCTTTTTCTTCTTGTGTTTTCTACCTACTCTACGCTACATACGTGGACACAACCCATTGATCAAAAACGTTCCCACTCGCCAGGAGCATTGTGGTATCTAGCTCGAGCTCGCGAAGTATCAAAGCTAGCGAAGTATCAAAAACAAAGACCTGTCCGTCGAGGGTCTCTCATAGCAGCAACTTGTTTCGATCAAGTGACCTCGGGGTGCCGAAGATTGTGCGGCCTGCCTTATATGGGCCCCGCGCGCTACCACTGCGCCATGCTGCTAACAGGCCTTTACTTTCTTAACCAACAATCTTGACACCCCGCCTCAACAGGGCCGCCACGCACCACGCACCTCCAAGGGTTCCCCAATATCACTCTTCCCGATGAATACATAAACACCAACGCCTCACCACAAGGAAACGCCTCCTCATCACGAACACTGTGGATCCGAATACTGGTGGGGTGTATTGCTGGTCGTGACGCGCCCGACCGAGTTGTCGACGCGGTATGTCCCGCGCGGATGGAATTTGTAGAGACGTTGAAGCTTTGACAAATTTGAAAGTCTGGTAACATACCGTGTGTGGGATAAGGCCCACGCGAGGGGGTGTAAAAAATTAAAAAAATTCAGCATTGTTTGAAGACGTAACGAGAGGCAATGGGGTGAACCGACTCCCAAAAATGAGCACAGTTTTGCAATTGTGGCACAACGGTTGTATTTTGCAATGGGTCAAATAATACAGGAAGGTAAATTGTATTTACGCTGCCGACGTGGTATATATAACGACATGCTGAGCTTCCTTCGGGAACATATTCGCAACACTCAATCTTTCTTAATTTTTATCGCATTCGAAACCAACACATCCTTCAACAACGATTCACATTGCTTTTTTGCTCGAGGTTGTACATTCGCCTTCGGTGAATTCACAAGAATCTGTGGGCGAGCCTGTAGCTTCGCCTTTGCGGGTGAGACAGGGGGTTTATATGTATCACGAGTGATTATTTCGGCAGTGTGAGCCGTAATCGACCGTAGACGTGCAGGGATCCAGTTGACTCGTGGGGGCGGCCGCATGATGTGCTCGAAGGGAATGGTAGGTTGCGCTTGCACTTTGGGGAACGACTAAAGAACGGTATTAGACGGTTTACAGATCTCGAACACAAAGAGGGGCTAACCTGTATTCTGAACTGTACCCAAACCTTCTCATCGGCTGCGAAGCCTTCGTCTATGCGTTTCCCTCTCACTAATTTTTCAAAATCAAGTCGTGTTTTCTGCATGTGATCTTTTATGAACAGCATGAATATGGAATGAAGCCGCATTTTTTCATAACCACGCAACCTGATTTCATGAGACATGATTAGAGCACAGTTATGGCAAGCACGGAAATAAACTTACCCAATGCTATTGCACTCCTTGAAGAAATAGTCTAAAAACTTCGACTGCCGTCTTTCTATAAGGTCATCTGACCATGCCTGCTTCATATAAGCACGATATTCGGCTTTGAAAGCTGCGGAGTTATGGTCGCCGGCAAGTTCAGTAGATGTGGTTGACATGGATAGATGTGTCGTTGAGTGAACAGGTAGGTTTGGTTGGTTGTGATAGAGTTAAATCGATGAGCAGGCGAGCTCTTATACTCTCAATGCAATCATGAGACAACAGCACCCTTTTCTTGTCGTACATTGATCTCCTGGGTCAGTGGATGTCGCAGACGGATTTTGGACCACTCAGGGGTATTGTTTCTCGGATTTTCGTCAAGTCTAGCTAATTCCAACCTCCGTCTTCAACTCTCCTTGTCCCTTCCAGTCTTTTTCTCTTCCCCCCTTTTTACTTCTTTCATCGGCGGTATTATTTCCCCATTCACGTGTGGCTAACGAATTAACGCAGACAATTACTTGAATACTTGAATAAATTCCCGTCGTTCAGTAGCTGAGTATGATTACACCCGCGCGGCGCCGAAAGGGTAGTTGATGCAATATCATGAGCTCCCACAATTATATTCGTGTAAAACAGTTCAGTTCATTCGAGTAAGTCTTGAATGATGACTGAGGAAGGGGATTAAGACATCTTGAACGCAGAGGGGAATTATGACCCGGGGGGCGCAGGGTGTGTGAGGGTGTTTCCGGAAGTACGTATACCGACCACCACCAAGACATCCTGAACAAGTTCCTCAGTAATTCATCCTTGCAGCTGGAATAAACCCCCTATGACGAACATCTGTCCACACGTCACACGAAACGACTCACATCCACCCAATCCTCCCAATCGCTACGTACGGAACTAGAAATCCAATACTCCGCCGCCTCACTAGCGCTGGTGAGTTTTATCATCCAGCCCGCCCGCTCAATATTAAATGCGCCGGGACCGGTAATTGAGAGTTTTAGATTCGAAACTGACTCTGGAAGATGGATCGATGAAGTACGAAGGGTTTATTGAATTATTTACTCGAAAAATGTTTCGGGAAATAGTCAGCCTACTTTGCACCAAAGTTCTTCCGCATCGCTTTTCCCTATTCTTACATTGAGACGAGGCCTTTGTACCAAGAAAAGCCCTCCCAATAGCCAAAGAGATTACATCTACTACTACTAGTCTTCAGCTGGTCGTGAAGCGGCCGAAGAAATTAACGATAATGAATGGCTTTGTGCAGACCAAGTCTGGTATCATACCATGTGTTGTGCTTCCAACCGATCAACTTAGCTCGCGGCGCACGCAGACTTATTCAAATCAGAAGATTACGAGTTGTTGAAGGAGGGGTATGAGGTTTTAGAGATGAAGGAACTTCAATCCAAGGTCGTAAGCTCGCGCTTGAGCCTATCCCTATCTTTCTGCCCTTATGCTAAGCATACCCTTCGTTCTAATACTATATGATTCTATATTGACACATTCCCTTCCTAAGAAATCTGGACCGCTGATGATCTTATAGCCTAGTCCGTGATTCTTCCAAAGCAGATTCTACGTATATTTTCCTGCAGATGTACCGCAAAGGAAATCATCATGTGTACACAGGATTCATTCCTCTTCTCGTAGTCTACTCCACAGATAGCCCCACTCACTCTAAGTTCAATACCATTCGCAGCGTTTCGGGACCACCCATTTCATTCGGAATACCTAGAGTTAAACTGTCTTGAAAGGACTACGACCACATGGCAGCTTTATATTTGTCCGCTGACTGCAACCCGGAATCTATCCCTTCTCGTATTCCTCCTGGGTCACCACCAACAAAATTCTTTGGTGTCGCTCTCGCTGATGAGTACATAAAAAACAACGGCTTTTATACCAAGAAATGGCATCTGATTACGACGATAAATCTGAATAGGATACCGAGTTGTTGAAGAAGGTTCATGAGGTTTTTGAGATGAACGAGGAGGAACGAGGCTCCGAGATAGTACTACACTTGCGCTTGTGCCTCTTTTGCCCTTGCTGTAAGCTTACTCCTCTCTGCTTCGATCTGCTCTCTGCTTTGATCTGCTCTCTGCTTTGATCTGATACTGTACTGACGCTCTTTCGCATCGCCAGAACATCTTGTGCGTGGCTTGGCCTTTCTGCACTCATCCGGTCCTTCAAACTGTGAATCAGCATTGCCGGGTTTGTCCGGGCTCAGGAAATGCTTATATATATATTCTCTTCCCAAACTCTGCCTTACTCTTTCACCAAACATCATCACGGTCGCTACACCTCGAATCATCAAGTTTTTGCCATTATCTTCTCGGACGAGTACATATGTGATCCCGCACCCTTCTCGCAGTGGACTCAACTGGAGCAGAGATTTTCAGACATCGTATAGGTGTACTTGAGCAACGATAGAGGTATGTACATTGTGTTTCAAGAGATAGAGATAAATGCAAACTGACTTCAAGTAATTTTCTTTGTCAATAGAACTTGTCAACGTGACCCCTCTTGCTGTCCTCATTTACTTTTGTTATTATTGAATTCCTTGTATTTGTTTTCCCACTGCGATGGTATTATTCCTGTTTTGCAATGCATACTGCCTCTGAACAGCTCAATCCTAGTGCGGAGGCTCATGAGAGTCTTGGAAAGATATAAATACCAATGGCAATCATAAGGACCTCTCTCAGAGCAGAGACGTTCAGTATAATACGCTTTGACCCTGCTTAAATGAGGTACAACGGTTACGGCCATTACGGGCCGGCCCTTTTCTTTGACCACCACGCACTTCAAAGCTTCATCACCGAAATTGTCTCATATCGGAACACTGCATAACAATCACATTCAGACTCAACAAGACTTAACGAGCCCGTATAGTAATTCGCACGTGCACAAAGCACTAGTCAATCTCGCGTCAATTTCGAATCAAATCCAACCACAACAAGAGGATATCACCTTTATTCGTCTGCTTTGAAAGAGCCAAACTGAATCACTATGGGTCGCTATACACCAGATACGAAAGTCTTTGGCATTCCACTACTTGAGCGACATGTTACATCGACCCCAGAATTCGAAACGATGGGCCCTTCTACCAATGGTGACGTGGTTTTGCAATATCTGTCTGCAGCCTTCCTGTTAGGGGAACGAGTCGCTGAATCGGTCCCTTCGCGAGTGGTCTACGTGCACACGAAGGAGGGCGCTACACACTGCGTTGTGTTAGCCTCAAATAAAGATCACGCGGCGAGCTTTGGCACAGAGGAGGGAAGAGAAACATTGAAGAAAGTGTATGAGATCATACGCCTAGAACAGCCTCCAGCATGGTACAGATGTTCTTGATTTTGTGAAGGTATATGGATACTCGCTTTAAATGTACTTTAGGCTGAACTTTTCACCTTCTCTAAATAGCACACCGTCTTTGCCAGTGAGACAACAACTATTACATCAACCATGTTCTGGCTCTTTTTATGATGTACGAAATTGCTGTTTGCTTTGGTCAGCGAAACAGTGCAGTCGATAATGACATTTTATTATCATCGCGGGCAGTGCTGATTGCCACTTTTTAAAGGTTAGACTCTCATCCTGTAGTACCCTACGATCCATTTTTTCACTTCTTCATCCACATACAAGTAACCCTGTTATCGATCATCATCTCATGTATGGAAAATTCATTTGATGACCACCCGGTGCCGCTCTTCTACCACCGGGCGAATGTAGCTGGCAGGCCATCAGGTCACGACGATGCTGTGATCTATTCCAGGACAATGGAAAGGGAAGTAGGTAGTAACACGGGACGCAAAAGCCATGGCAGTTCATTTGAACTGCCATTAAGGCATCACCGTTGGCATCTGGTTGTGACCCGGGCCGGCTATGTTGCAACC